ATATAGTAGAAAACAAAGACGCAAGTTTGGTTTCATTTTTAATGAAGATATCAGTAGATCAAATGCCATTAATATAAAATATACTTTTATTTAAATGGTATAAGAAGTTTTGTTGTTTATATAAGATTACGTTTTCAACATTTTTAGAGAAGAAAAAATCGCTTTGGAGCACGATAAGTGCAAGGGTCAGCTCAAAATTGCACAATTTAAAAACATATGACATTTAAAGTATAATAATAATAATAAGTGGTCTTATATAGCGCGGTACCCCGGCCTAGGGCTGGGCTCACCGCGCTGTACATAAATATAGCAAAGAGGCATAATCATAATATTAAAATAAAATACATAAATGAAATAAAAACAACATATAAGCAAAACAACACCATAGGTATATTCATCCACCCACACCAGACATTTTTACAAGGAAACCCATGTACGTTTATCGGTTTATAGGAGGAGAATCAGTCAGAGTAGTATAGTTTAAATAGATGTGTTTTGAGTGCAGTTTTGAAGGCCTGTGTGGTTGTTATATTGCGGATGTGTAGTGGCAAAGAATTCCATTGTTTGGGGGCGCAGAAAGAGAAAGATCGTTCACCATATAATTTAGTGCGTGTCTTGGGAACGGACAGAATACGCGAGTCTGCGGAGGAGCGAAGTTGTCGAAGGGGTGAATAGACAGAAAGAAGTTCAGTTAGATAGGAAGGGCAGGAATCCGAGAAAAAGTTGTGACAGAGAAGAGACAGCTTGTAGTCAATGCGTGCCTGTATAGGGAGCCAATGTAGTGAGTGGAGTAGTGGAGTGACGTGATCATGTTTTTTTGCCTTAAGAACAAGCCTAGCAGCAGAGTTTTGAACTTTCTGCAGTTTTTCTATAAAATGTTTGGGTGAACCTGACAGAAGTGAGTTGCAATAGTCAAGACGAGAGAGAACAAGAGCACAGACTAGAGTTTTTGTTGCGCTAACTGTCAGGTAGTGGCGGATGGAGCTGATCTGACGGATGGCGGTGTATGCCGAACGACAAATGTGAGAGATATGTTTATCGAGAGACATGTTGTTAGAAAGAATATAACCAAGATTCCTAGCAGAGGGTGTAAACTGTATGTCGGAGTTACCTACTTGAAATGAGGTGGGAAGAGTTGAGGTAGAGGATGATTTGTGATTGTAAATGAGGAGTGCTTCTGTTTTGTCATCATTAAGCTTCAACTTGCTGAGTGTCATCCAAGACTTGACATCATCAATGCACCCCCGCAAAGTCTGGACAGCGGAATCGACAAGAGATGGATGGGTATGCATGTATAGCTGCGTATCATCTGCAAATGACTGGTTCTCAACAGCATGCCTCCCGAGCAAGAGGAGCAGTGGCCTGGTATACATTATGAATAGAACCGGACCCAAAACGGACCCCTGTGGCACTCCGTACACCAAATCAGCACTGCCGGAGAGACAGCCATCGACAGAGACCATTTGCGTTCTATCAGAGAGGTAGGACCTAAACCAAGCCAAAACCGAACCAGAAATTCCAAAGTAGTTTTCAAGGGTTTTGAAAAGGATTTCATGGTCAACAGTGTCAAAGGCCACACTGAGGTCTAAGAGGATCAAAATGGAGACATTACCGCTGTCCATTGCACGCAAGAGGTCATTACTGACTCTCAAGAGAGATCATTTAGATTTGGTAATTTAAGTTCATGTTTATAAAAAACAATTGTAGTTTATGGGCGCGAAAATGGGTAGTGTAGAAATAGAATATTAAGTAGAAAAATAATTCGTAAAACCTTTAATGATGTTAGAAACGTAAACATCATTACATAGAGACTTCTTTTTTTAAAAAAATCGGAATTGTGATGATTTTTCGTAATAGATGGTGGAAATTATCGCCAAGTGCCTGCCATTATTGTCTCTATAACATCGTGTGATATTTTGTAGTTTTAAATACCGTATTAACTAACCGGTGTAATTTCTAATACACAATTGATTCGATTTTGTGTGGATGTAGTTTATTGAATGGTTTGTAATTTCAACTATTTATTGTTAGAATTTCCTTTTCTTAGGCCTACATTATTCTTGTGTTCATTTTCCCCCACTTTCGGCTAAAGCATATTTCTGGGTTTCGTTCGGGATATAAAATTGTCAAAGATTTAATTTCCACGTCATTTCCGTCAAGCAAAGCATTTTACAATGTGGTAATCTCAGCGCGAACACCCTGACCGCTGTGTGACACTGGCACGTACTTTGAGTTTTAACAACCCTCTCAGGCTCACGTCATAAATAAGATCGTTTGGTTTAGTCAACAGACACGGGCGGTGGTCATATATACCAGGGTGTCTTAAATACCCAACATTATTGACGGAAATCCTCCTGGAGAGATCTTGTTGACAGTGTTATTCCGTCGTCATGGTTTAACTTCCTGGTTGACGGGATCAACGGTTGTGTTTGTGACGTAAACCCCATTGCTTTCGGGGTAGTGTAATATCCCATACGGTGAAGGCCTGCTGAATATTGGTATCATTGACTTTGAGACTGTCCATAACACAGTCAATCCATTGTCGATGTGGTCCTCTTCTGGTCCTGAAACAGGGGAGGTGTCACTGGGATCAATCCGCTTGTTAAGTCCTGTTTATTTGAACACAACTTGGACGCACACTATGATTCTGCTTTAAATAAAGAGATTTTTTTGAAGTGGCACAGGTTCCCGACCTTCTTGTGTTACGGCCCCATATTTAAGAAGCGAAGAGACCCGTGATCCCGATACATTAAAAAAAAATAATTCTTTTTAATTAAGTTAAAACAAACACAACGAAAATAATTGTTCCATTATTATATACTGCACTAGAAAATATACCCGGCTTTTGTTGGGTTGTATTCGAAAAAAATGCGCGCACCAAACAAAGTTAAACCGGAAACCTTAATCCATTAATAGATGTTTGAAAGCGCGCGATTCTGATTAAAGTTTTATTAAAAAATACGTATACCAAACTAACTTAACTTGAACTCCCTCGAAGCCATTCAATAGAAAAATAAAATATTATTTATAATAATAATAATAATAATAAAGTTCATTTCAAAAACACGCTTCGTCCCCAAAGGCTCGAAGCGCGGTAAAAAGTCAACAAAAAAACAAATCTATAATTTACCACATTTAAAACAAACGCAACACTACAAAAACTAATTACAAGCATACAATGGCAAAGTCTTTCTAGCCATTTCAACCCTGAGCAACACAGCCATTATGCATTAACTGGAAAATAAGGTAGACAATCATCCCAGAAGGTGTTTGCGAGATAGATGTGTCTTTAGATCGGTTTTAAAGGACTCCAGTGTCTGGTTGTTTCTGAGAGCGACAGGAAGGGCGTTCCAAATGGTTGGACCAGCAAATGCGAAAGTGCGCTTTCCGTAAGTCTCAAGGCAAACACGTGGTGTCGAGAGTTTGCCACTATCGGATGAGCGGAGCTCTCTAGTGGGTACATATACTCTTTAGTCTCTACATTTTACAATTTAAAAAAACAAATAATAATAACAGCTTTTGTAAGATGATGATTATGACCAGACTTTCCCGGAACTTTCTGTAAGTCAAGAGGAAGGATCATGTCACGTTTGTTTACGATCGATTGTTTGGTTTTCGATGGATCGACTGTCTACAAAAACATAGTAACAGTGTGCTTTGTGTATTAGATTTTTTTTTTTTTTAATTTACGAAATTTTTAATAGGATCTTTAAATCTATATTCGTGGTTAAGGACATTCTCAACACTGTCTGTTTGTGGTTTTGTTCATAAAATGGAGAAAATTTGAAAACCCAATCACAAGCGATCAGGCCGGCTGTATCATGAATCATGGCCTAGGGTGCCACAGTCCATGAGGCGTGTGTACGGATGAAATATGTACACTTTTTTTTTCAGTACTTTAAGGAATAAATACAATTCTATAATTTTGTAGATATTGATTAAAATTATATGCTGTGGTTAATGGATTATAAAGATTTTATTAATTGAGTATGTTTCAAAAAATTAACTATTATATCAATTAAATTCGAAGATATAAATACATTTTTTGAAGGGAGGGGCGCTCAACTATATGCTTTTGGCCCCCAGGGCGCAGAAATGGGCACACACGGCCCTGCTCAGCGGAGAAATATAAAAACAAAAGACTTCAAACTTTAAGACAATGAGCAAAATTAATAATGTGTTTAATAATGTGTTTAATTTTTTTTTTTTTTTTAAATCTACTTTTCACCAAAAAAAAAAAAATATATATATATATATATATATATATATATATATATATATATATTTGTTTTGCGATAAGATAAAAACAGACTTTAAATGTCAAATGTATTAAAAACATGTAACAAGAGAGTGATGTGGACGCAATGATACATGCATGCCGAGAGGACAGCAATGAATGTCGGCTGAGTGCAAACTGCAACCCAAAAAAAGTCAGTTGTTCAATTTCTAGGACTTAGCAATGACAAACAGCATTCACTCAGACATCAGAGCAAACAGTTTTCAATATAGTTTCATTGCTGAAACAAACATCTTTGAAATTAGCCATAGCATTGCTGAAACAAACATCTGTGGAGCTAGCCATAGCAATTCTGAAACAAACACCTTTGTAATTAGCCATATCTTAACAGAGACAATGTAGTTTCTCTAAAGCTTAAGTGTTGAGATGAGACGAAGGATTAGATATTGAAAAAAAAACAATGCAATTTATCTAAAGTGTTTTGAAAATGAGGTATAAGTAATGCAGGGGTTGGCTGGGATATTTGATTCTCGTAAATTTCCATTAAGAGTAGGCGTAGGTTGACCAGAGGTAAAGCGTACTTGAGAAAAAATTTTATGTTTGGTAAATATCAATGCACTCTAGTAGAGGTGCGTTACATTAAATTATTATTTTTTTTTTTTAATTTACTTGTTGATAGGCATAGCATTGTTTTTTTTTCAATATCTAATCCTTCATCTATTGGTTTTTTTTTTGTTTTTTGGTTTTTTGTTTTTTTTTTTGGGGGTGGGGGGGAGAGAAGGTTAATTATTTTAAGAATATACCTGAAAGCTATTCACTTTTGAGTTTTGTTCCGAATGTCGACATGTTTTTAAAATTTCTTTTTTTTCAAATTTTACTACATGTGATTATTCCCAAGTTTATTTGTGGAGTTCTATCTACTTGTTATGCAAAATTCTACATCATTATTAGAGGTTCGACTGTTTTAAAAAATTTTTTTTTAAAAATTTACTTTGTTAGTGGTTGTGAGCCTTAATCAAAGGATTAGTAGAAGGTTCTCGTGTCTGTCTAACAATGCGTTAGGGATTGCCGCCAGTGTTGGAGAATGGAGGAAAAGGTTGATTTCAGATTATGATTGTTCTGTAACTTAAGTTAGGCAAGAACTGGATTTTGAAACTGACTCAAATGATTTTTTTTTTTTTTGTTGTTCGTTTTCAAAACCAGTTTCCTTAAAAAAAAGGATTTTTTTGTTTCGGTGGAACTCCGTGTGTGTTGGGGGTACATCCTACCAAAAGGTTGCCTCAGGCCCTAGGCACTCGTTAAGGGGCGTATCCTACTCAAAGGTGGCAACAGGGCCTAAGCACTGGTTTAGGGGCGTATCCGACCAACGTTGGCCACGGGTCCAAGGCACTCGTGTTGTGCTACGTAGTCCCATTAAACTTTCATTCAACTCTTGAATCCTCCTTCCTACACCCACGTGACCGGCCTTCCAACTCCCAACATTACACAGAGTATGTTGTTTCTCTCTTGTACTTTTATGCGTCCAGATTTATTATTTTAAATCCATGCACTTAAAAACACAACAATAGAAGAAGAAAAACATTTTAATTCCATTTTGTTGTAAAATGTCTTGAACTGTCTTGAATTTACCGAAAGGTTGCCATAATACATCGGCTAAAATAAATGATGACAAAATTGGGGTTGGAGGGTGGACTCAAACCCGGGCTGAATTTTTAGATTAAAAAAAAATAGATATACATTTTATTTCAAATAATTTTTTTTCCATTTCATTTTAGACCAATTCAAATTTTTTTTTGAAATTTAATTTTTTTAACCTTTATTTTTTTAAAAACATTTTTTTTCACGCCCTTTGTCCTTTATATTGATATACATATTACATTTACTAATTCGTCTGCATAACGAAATCAAAGACAGATTTGATCAATTCTATCAAATAAATCTCAGCATTTGACGAAGGCTGAAACCCAGGATCATGAAAAGAAATGTATGACCTAAAAAGAGTTTACAATTGACTGAATGAAAAGAGACTGCTATATGATTTGTAAAAAGCTAAAATGATCAAACGATCACAGGAAGTGAAAGGATGCATTCATCCACAATTTGAAAATTAAAGGTTTTTTTTTTCTTTCCAGATACTTTAGATATCTCTATTCAGTTAAATCATTTATATCTGTCAAGTGTTCACTTTGCGCTCTGTTGATATCCAAAGAGTACTACCGTCTCTCTGACAGCACATTGTTTTCGTGTGCCCAATGGAAAATTGACCCAAGAAACGAACCAATTCATGGTATAAATGTCAAATTAACTTTAAAAATTGTAATGAATGGAAATACCGCACGAGGACTGCAGGTCAGCGATCAGTATTAAGTTGTTAAAATTTCACAGTGAATATCGACCCATTTGTGTTTCAAAGTCTTCCCACCACCCCCCCCCCCTTTTTTTTTTTTTTTGGTACATCATAATCGTCGACATCTCCATAAATCTTTATTGGCACAAAACATTTCCCTAGCACTTGAAATGGCCGTCCTATGTCAGATGAATGCGTGTCATGGAAATACAAGGCATTTTTCTCGGTGGCAATCTTGCCTCCGGTTGGCCAAATGTTCTAAACTGAGCAAACCTCAGGTTGGTGATCTAGAGTTCAGTTCCAGCCAAAAACAATCTTAAAATATACGTGGAAATAGATATTTTGAAATGTATCTGGAAATATATGTTAACATGTATATTGAAATATGTGTTGAGATATATGTTACATCCATGGCGTTGGAAGCATATCCAATATATATAAAGATACAAATTAATATTTTTATGCATAGATTTTTCTAAATTCTATTATAAAGTTAGTAGGCACTTAACATATTATGTAAGAATATTTTAACACTCTGCGTCTGCTAAGAACCAATGTGAATATGTAAGGGAGTGTGTATAAATGTATGTGCAAAACTATTGTGACAGAGATATAAGAGTCACAAATATTCCAGTTCTGGCGTCTCATTTATTTCTTTATTGAAAGAGGAATCTGCGCAGGCTCATCACAATCAGGAGTGAAGAAAGGGTGAATGGCCCCGCTTTGAGAACCTCCACTCCATTGTGACCAGCACGACCGCTTCCACCTCCAGACCCGCCGTTTGAACCTGTCAGGAGAGTCAAAGAGAAAAACTGAACAACCTTCACCTTCACCAAGGTCATTGGTGGTAGGCGACTGCCTAAGACCCCGCGCTCGAGGGCGGTCCGGCACTTAGCCATTATAACTGGGGTCGGGGAGGGGGGAGGCATTTTGATCTATTATCACTTACATAGTTATTTTCGTCGACGTTGTCCTCTACTATTTAAAGGGGAGAGCGTCATAGAATAATGAAATCATAAATGGTTTATTAAATCGTTTCACATATATAATACAATAATTATTAAAATCAGCATAGAATACATGCTCCAGAAAAATGTCAAGACCAACATAGAGACCTGGTTATCCCCCTTGTTAATCAGACCAAGGCATTTGACATGGTCAGTAGAGATGTCCTGTGGAAGGTAGTGGAGAAGTGTGGCTTCCCGAGTAGGTTCATTACAAAAGTACGTCAGCTCCATGTTGGTATCATGATCAGGGTGATGTCACGTTGGTACGGTGACCAGGGTGATGTCACGATGGTACGGTGACCTGGGTGATGTCACGATCGTATGGTGACCAGGTTGATGTCACGATGGTACGGTGACCAGGGTGATATCACGATGGTACGTCGACCAGGGTGATATCACGATGGTACGGTGACCAGGGTAAGGTCACGATGGTACGGTGACCTGACAAACAAACTGCAGAAGCGGTTCTGAGCACGAAACTCTTGACCGGTAATCAGAGACCTCCTGTTTGTTGATGACTGTGCCCTAGACGCAAGCTCAGAACTGAGAACGTAGCAAATACTTGATCTCTTTGCAAAGGCTTGCGACAACTACGGCCTCACCGTCAATAAGCAAAAAGTAGCGATCTCGCATCAGCCAGCTCCTGGTAAAGCTTACAAAGACCCTAAAGTATCAGTGAAAGGATAGAATCTCCAAGGAGTCTAAAAAATGCCCATATCTAGGCTGCATCCTGTCAAGGTCAGTAACAACAGATGATTAGATTAAAACAGAATATCAAAGGTAAATTGTTCATTTCGAGGGCTCTGTAGGAGTATGTGGAAAGCGAAGTATTTAGGGCAATCGTATTAATATCACCCATATATGCTAGCGAGAGTGAACAGTGTACAGAAATGTTGGACTGCTGAACCAATATCCATCTACGCTGCCTATGTAAACTTCTTGGCAAAAGATGGCGGGTCAAAGTCCATGAAACAGAGGGCTTACATTGTATCAGCATCTACGCGCTCCTACAAAAAGGACAGGTCAGACAGGCAGGACATGTCAGAAGAATGCCAGACAAGCAGGGCATGTCACAAGAATGCCAGACAAGCAGGGCATGTCACAAGAATGCCAGACAAGCAGGGCATGTCACAAGAATGCAAGACAAGCAGGGCATGTCACAAGAATGCCAGACAAGCAGGGCATTTCACAAGAATGCCAGACAAGCAGGGCATGTCACAAGAATGCCAGACAAGCAGGGCATTTCACAAGAATGCCAGACAAGCAGGCCATGTCACAAGAATACCAGACAAGCAGGGCATTTCACAAGAATGCCAGACAAGCAGGGCATTTCACAAGAATGCCTGACAGCAAACTTTCTAAACGACAAACGTTCGGTGAACTCTGCAGGAAAAAAAACTTTCAGCGAGTGGGCTGCAAAAAACGCTTAAACGACTGTCTAAAATCTTCACTCAAATCCATGGACATTTACCTAAATTAGTGGAAGCCACTTGCTATTGCCCGTGCATGCCGATGTGGCAGACTCACTGTCGATGCCAACATTGCTCACGCTTAAGGAATGCGCACGGCAATGAAAAGCAAAATCGACTCAAATCCAAAACGGACTCACAAAGAAACATGTGTCTCACGTGCGGGAAAGCTTTCCAGGCACAAGTAGGACCTTCGAAATCACCATGTAATATGTGTGTACATGAATATATATATACATTTATATTTACATATATACACATATATACAATTTATTTATTAATAAAGACGTGAAAAAATACTCACATGAGACTTTTACCTCAACGGTTTTTGAATCTACATTGCCAGCGTCATCGGTGGCCTTACATTCGTAGACATCACCGGATTTACAGTCGGCGGTTATTGTGGTAGTTACACTTGTGGATCTAACGTTATATTCTGGGCTCCCGAAGATAAATTTTCCTGGATGCAGATTAAACATTAAATTACTGTGTATGTCCACAGCTAACAAACAACATTTCTAAAACCATTTAAAACTTATCAAATTAAAAGCGAACAGAAAAATATACTGGGTTGGCGTAAGTGGCTTGACACCGTCGCTAAAATTATAGTTGTTGATCGCGTCTGCTTCGTTGAGTAAACGGGTTGGAGGGTGAGGTCAGATATACCCTTTTTTGTGTTTTTTTTTGCTTAGCTAAAGAGTTTTGTGACTTAAACGAGGACTTTGTAAGCATTTGATGATGAAAAGAAGTATTAAAAAAAAAATACTTTTCTCGATTACTTACTGTGGTGATCTGACTTATGATATATTAGTGAGGAGTATCTCTCGTATGAGATCTCCTCTTGGCACGTCTAGGAATTCGTTATTTAAACCAAATTACGACACAGACATAATAACCTATCTATATACATATAGTATAGACTGAAACGAAGTCTTTGTTAAAGGAGAAAATAACTATAAGTATTTATTAAATAATAATATTTACAAATTCCTCCGTTATACACTCATGGTGCTTAATATATATACATCAAATGGATTTCATCCAATTAGAAAGGTATATCAATGCAAAGCAAGTGTCCCTAACATACAGACGGTATCATCATTATTAATGCTATATTGCTCAAGTTCCATGCTCAATCTTGGTAGATTAGCCTTTATAGTTCCAGTGATGATCTCGGTGGATCACACAGTGTGGGAGTCCTTCTGTTCCAGAAGCGTGTCCCTGTTCCGGTTTTCGGAGCTTTTCTAAGCGTAGCGAAGTCGGAGTTCCCAGTCGTAGATTCCGTGGGATCTTTGCGATGGGGGAGATTACTCTCCAGCGATAAATCATGGTGGTGAAAGACCCTGGATCTCGAGTCCTTCTAGTAGTGTCAGGTAGTTTGGTGTAGGACGTAAATCAATCCCCTAGTTCCAGCTTCAAGGTAAGTCGGTCCAGTAATAGAAACGAGGCTAAAGGCAAATGACACAAAAATGGATAAGTATCCAAGCGAATAGTCATAAGCTGATGAGTCCCGTTCCAACAGCAACGAATTCAGATAGATTTATGGAAGGGGATAAAGCTTGTACATATACATCCAATTTGTGGATAGTTTTATAAGTCTGATCATTGTCGGAGTAAGCACCAAGTGAGCATTTCAATGAATGAAGTAATGGACAAGGTAGCATTAGCAACAATTAAAATTATAAGTACATGATATTCATATTGTCATCTTGTTAAAGGAGACTTGGGCGATTTAGAACAACAACCTACCATCCCCATGATGAGATGGAACAACAACCTACCATCCCCATGATGAGATGGAACAACAACCTACCATCCCCATGACGGGATGGCGGCGTGTCGTAACCCGCGGCAAAGGCAATATTAGAATGCATAATATCTATACTAATAAAAGGCAAAGCCCTCACTCACTCATCACTCATCGCTAATTCTCAAACGTCCCAAGTAGATAGCAGCATGAATATTGGCATGTTTATTCCTTACAGCTCACTTACAAAAGTTAAACATGTTTCATTTCCAAACTCTATACCGTTTGGGGCCGTGGGCCCAAAATGTCGTTTGTTTTCTATATGAGCTTTATAAATAAAATGATAAACAAATACTTCTACATGAATTGATGGATCTTGACCAAACTTAATCCACATACTCTTGATTAGCCATATTCAAATACCGAAGAGTACTTAGAGCATAATATCCATCCCTCTGGGGCCGGGGGCCCATTTCATTTTTCTAATTTGAGCTATATAAATATGACTAGGCTTAGTACTCCTACATGAATAGATGGATTTGACCAAACTTAGTACCCATACTCTTGATTATCCATATTCAAATACCCAAGTGTAATGAACTCATAATATCCATAACTCTATAGCCGGGGGCCCCATTTCATTTTTCTTATTTGAGCTATTTTCTCCAACTTTCGCTGTAGATAGAAGGTTGAAATTGGGCAGGCGCATTCCTTACAGCTGATTTACAAAAGATAAGCAGGTTTCATTTAGAAACTCTACCCGGAACGGTTCGCAACTGGGGGCCCCGAATTCGTTTTTTTTCCTAATCTATACTAATAAAATGCAAAGCCCTCCCTCACACTCATCACTAATTCTCCAACTTTCCCTGTATATAGAAGCCTCAAATTTGCCAGGCTTATTCCTTACACCTTACTTACAAAAGTTAAGTACGTTTCATTTCAAAACTATATACCGTTTAAGGCCAGGGCCCAAAATGTCCATTATTTCTATTTTGAGCTATATAAATAAAATGATCAACAAATACTGCTACATGAATCGATGGATCTCGACCAAACTTAATATACATAAATTTGATTATCTATATTCAAATACCGAAGGTACTTAACACATAATATACATCCCTGTGGGCCGGGGGCCCATTTCATTTTCTCTTATATAAGCTATATAAATATTACTAGGCTTAGTACTCCTACATAAATAGATGGATCTTAATTAAACTTAGTAAACTTACTCTTGATTTGCCATAGTCAAATACCCAAGTGTACTGAACTCATAATATCAATACCTCTATAGCTGGGGGCCCAATATCATTTTTTCTTATACTAGCTATATAATCCAACTTCCATTGTAGATAAAAGCGTTAATTTCAGCCGGCTTATTCCTTACAGCTTACTTACCAAAGATAAGCAGCTTTCATTTCGAAACTCTACCCGGAAAGGTCACAAATGGGGGCCCCGAATTCAATTTTTTTCTTTATATGAGCAATATAAATAAAATTAACAACAAATACTCCTACATGAATAGATGGATCTCGACCAAACTGAGTACACATTCTCTTGATTATCCATATTCAAACACCGAAGGATACTGAACTCATGATATTAATCCCTTTTGGACTGGGGGCCCCATTTTATTTTTTCTTATATAGGCTATAGGAATATCAATAGCCTTAATACTCATTCATGAATAGATAGATTTTGACCAAACTAATTACAGATACTCTTTAATATCCATATTAAACTATTGAAGGGTACGGAACTTATAATATCAATAGCTTTGGGGCCGGGGGCCCCATTTCATTTTTTATTACAAGCTATATGCTCCAAATTTCCGTGTATATAGAAGCCTGAAATTTGGCAGGCTTATCCCTTACAGTTTACTTACAAAAGTTAAGCAGATTTCATTTCGGAACCCTATATCGTTTGGGGCGGGGGCCTAAAATGCCAATTTTTCTTATATAATCTATGTAAAAAAAATGATTAAAAAATCTTGCTACATGAATCGATGGATCTTGACCAAACTTAATATACATCCATTTGATTATCCATATGCAAAAATCCGAAGGGTAGTGATGTCATAATACCCATACCGCTGGGGCTGTGGGCCCGATTAATTTTTTTTATATAAGCTATATTCTATAACTTTCCCTGTAGATAGAAGTCTGAAATTTTGAAGGCTTATTCCTTATAGCTTATTCCTTAAGGTCACAACCGGGGGCCCCGAATTTCTATTTTCCTTATATTAGATATATGAATAACATTATCAACAATTACTCCTTCTTCTTCTTATATTTAGGGGCCCACGATCAATTTAATGAGCATTGTTTAAATTCAGATTTTTGCCTTCTCTTAGATGGGTTGCAGTCCAAAGCTAAAGAGTTTAATCCACCCAGGGTGCTTGTGATGTTTGCTTCGGTGGGGTCTGAACTCCAGACCACCAACTCTTAAGTTTGAGACAGTTTAGACGTTCGGCCCCCAAGCACTCCTACATGGATCGATGGATCTTGACCAAACTTAACACACATACACATGATTATCCATATTCAAATACCGAGATATACTGAACTCATAATATCAGTCCCTCTGGGGCCGGGGGACTATTTTCATTTTTCCTAATACAAGTTATATAATTATGAATAGGGCTAGACAACACTATAGGTTCTATGTGAATTGGTGGATCTACGCCTAACTTTGTAGCAATACACTTCTCTGTACGTATTAAAATATCGGTGGATTTAAAACTAATAATATCCAATCCATTTAGGGCCGATCTAGAATTTTGTAGAAACTTCGATAGTTTAAAAAAGTTATATCTATGGCATTTTAAACCAATTTTAATAAGACAAATGTTAATTCTATAATTTATCGGAATGATTTTTATAGGACCCCCATCTAAGACGTAATTAAAATGTTACTTAATTAAATTGACCGTCCGGGGCCCCTATATTATTTTAAATGTATTATATATATAACTAGATTTAAAAACGTACTCGAACAAAATCGCACTGAGCATGATCCTATAGAGAAACAGGATCCTAATGGGACCCATAGGTTACGCGATCCCATCCGGGTACTGGGATCAAAACTGGATCAGGATCCTATCGGAAAAAGTGATAACTTCGGAAAATAGAGTCCCTAGCTGACACAGGATCTCACTGATAACGGTCCCCTAACGGGATCGGTAGGCCACTTGGATCAACAAACCGAGGGGATCGGGATCCCAACGGGATCTTGATTCTCCTTGGATCCGGAGCCAGAAGAAAATAGTATCCCACCGTGAACGGGATCACTCAGCGAAAAGGGATCGCGCCGGGATCGGGTTCAGAATGGCAATGAGGACTCATTAGAATTGGGGTCTTACCGGGATTGGGGTCTCAAGGACAGACCCTACAGGATTGATTTTCGCAAGAGAATGCATTGGATTGTCTCCAGAATATGCGGATAATTGATAATATCTTACCATTTTTTCTTTGAAAAAGACTTTCCGCTGCGAAGCGCGGGTATTTTGATAGTCACTAATATACTACAGACAATAGTGGAATAAGATCAAACACGAACGAATAATTACTCCATAGTCATATAAACAATACAAGTGAAATAAAATGATATCAGAATCATGGTTGCGTACTTACTAGTACTCTAGGTAGCAGTCACAGTTAATGATAACGCTAATGAAGTACTAAGTCTAGATCCTTCCAGCGTCCACGGTCAAGTGATCATATCATAAAAGACATATTCTTGCTTGTTCAGGCTATTTATTCGAATTAAGTGATTATTCGGTGATGATTCAATTGGCTGGTCTAAATGTTTTTTTCCCCATCCAATGACAATCACTTTCGATGTTGCGGCTTTGACCGTCTACCCTCAAAGTTTTGTCGGGGTGAGGAGGAAAATCTAAACTCACACTTCGGTGTGAGCTTTCTGGTGTACAAATGCAATAACAAGGGACTATACTCCGCTTTGCTGTCTCCAGGGAAAAATAAGCGGGGGTGGGGGGGGGGAATATGGTATTATTTTCTCAAGATTCATCGGTAAGAGGGGTTAAACACAAATTCCACGCTTTTGGGGGTGAGCGGACTGGGTTAGGAATGCGATAAAACCAAGGGGGTATGCAACTGCGGGGCAAATTGAGAGGAGGGAAAGGTATTATTTTACAGGGTTTTCCAGCGGCGGATTTACGATGGAAGAAATTTGACCAAGTCATCAGCGTCAAATCATCAGCGTCAAGTCATCAGCCTCAAGTCATCATCGTCAAGTCATCAGCGTCAAGTCATCAGCCTCAAGTCATCAGCGTCAAGTCATCAGCGTCAAGTCATCAGCGTCAAGTCATCAGCCTCAAGTCATCAGCGTCAAGTCATCAGCGTCAAGTCATCAGCGTCAAGTCATCAGCGTCAAGTCATCAGCGTCAAGTCATCAGCGTCAAGTCATCAGCGTCAAGTCATCAGCGTCAAGTCATCAGCGTCAAGTCATCAGCCTCAAGTCATCAGCGTCAAGTCATCAGCGTCAAGTCATCAGCGTCAAGTCATCAGCCTCAAGTCATCAGCGTCAAGTCATCAGCCTCAAGTCATCAGCGTCAAGTCATCAGCCTCAAGTCATCAGCGTCAAGTCATCAGCGTCAAGTCATCAGCCTCAAGTCATCAGCGTCAAGTCATCAGCGTCAAGTCATCAGCCTCAAGTCATCAGCGTCAAGTCATCAGCGTCAAGTCATCAGCCTCAAGTCATCAGCGTCAAGTCATCAGCGTCAAGTCATCAGCCTCAAGTCATCAGCGTCAAGTCATCAGCGTCAAGTCATCAGCCTCAAGTCATCAGCGTCAAGTCATCAGCCTCAAAATCATCACACTTACAACTTACAATGAAACATTAGAAAATAGAAATTATTATTAAAAAAATAATTAGAAATTAAAATTTACTAGCAAAGACGAGTGTCAAATAATTTAAATTACTTAAAATGCGTCCCACAAAGAAATTCTGTGCAGACTAAAAAAATTAATATAAGTAAAGCAAATTTGAAATTTCGCTTACATTCAATTTGAATCCTTTCTCTTCATGGAGTGCTCATCTACATTTATGTACAGTCTGTCTTTGGCTTCATATAGTGCTCATCTATACTTCTGCAGAGTTTATCTTTGGCTTCATAGAGTGCTCATCTACACTTAAGCACAGTCAGTCTTTGTCGTCATGGAGTGCTCATCTACACTTCTGTACAGTCTGTCTTTGGCGTCATAGAGTGCTCATCTACACTCCTGCACAGTCTGTCTTTGGCTTCATAGATGGCTCATCTACACTTCTGCACAGTCTGTTTTTGGCTTCACAGCGTGTCATCTACACTTCTGCACAGTGTTTCTTTGCGTAAGGCATTTTAAGGAATTGTAAATGATTTTCTCATTTTATTGTGTTTTCACTCGTCTTTGATAGAAAGTCCTTTTTAAAGCTTTTTTTGTTTAAATTGTTTTAGGTGACTTGAAAGCATTCCCACACGTAGCGCTAACAGTGGTATATGGTATTGTAAAGAAACTTTGCCTACTCTCTGCTAACCTTCATCTATCTGGCATTCACTAAGGAGACAACTCAGGCGATAATGATTATAGACTTGTTTTTTATTGAGTTGACACTTCGCTCATACTTTCTCTCATCTCGCAACTCTGACTGCCCTCTTCCTCTACCGTCGAGCTCTCTCCCCCTGTCCGCTCTCTGTCCGGCCGCCTTCCCTCTCCAATCTAACCGTCCCCTCTTATAGGTCCACCAGCCAACCGAGGCGTCTCTAGAGATTACTCCCCCTACTTCTTAAGTCTTGATTTATCTGCTACGCGCCAAACACCTGGACTGAACTCTGCCGTGGGTTTTTGCCCCTCATCCCTGCCCGCTGCATTCCTCGCCTTAATTTATTTGGTCAGTCTTCGACTGTGGGTTTACCCCGCTCCGTTGACATCCATTGTATTCCACGTCTTAATTTATCTGCTACCCGCCAAACACCTGGACTGAACTCTGCCGTGGGTTTTGCCCCTCACCCTGTCCACCTGGACTGAGACTGAACTCTCTACAGTATTAATAATCATCGAATGCGGAGAATGGAAAGCGTAGAAGAAAAATACGCTTCCATTATAATTTTATCTTTTCATCAAGAAGCATCTTAAATTGCATGTTGTTAACGTCGTATAACTAACTAAAAAGAAGTCTAGTAAGTCTTGCACGTTCATCTTTCCACTCACCCAATTTGGTCGCCTTAACAGTCAAGATTGGTTCGCCAACATTGTCCAGTTTTGCACATTGAAATGTGAGGCTAGCCCTGTCTCCAACGGTGACTGTTGTACTTTGGCCGTTTACCGTGAAACTTTTAAGCACCGCAACTGCAATAGGAAAGAACTTAAACAACATCTAAAGGATTAAAAAAAGACACTTTTTTTAATTTTCAGTCATATGTGTAGTTATAATTACATATGCGTTAAATGTTTCCTTGTTCATAGAATCACATTTGTATGCATTGTTTCACTGTGCTTAGTTTTGTTGCTGTTGTTTGTTTTTCATAATATTTCTGATTCCATTCATTGCCTTTAAAGTCTGTATCTCAGATAACGTGACTTTGAAATAATTACACAACTTACGCTTTGGTCTCGTTCACAGAAAATTTCCCATAAAACTTTGATAGTTTCGCTAGTAGTCTACAGCGACGGAAGTATACACTTTTTTAAATAAAAATATTTCATCTCTTTCATATCTTTTGCCACTGGTGTGGCTGCTTCCTTTTCGCAACCAACCCCTCCCCACCTTTACTCAATAGTTCTAAGTGAGAAAAAAAATCTGTCAAGCAAAGAGTGTAATGCGTGACGGTTGAACTTGTGTAAAAGTGTTGAATTTTCGCAGATGTGACTCATATCAAATGTCAAAGATCTGTCGGACCACTCTTTAAAAGCCGGCCGTCAGGACGTGGGACTGTACATGGGCCGGCTATCTAAATCCCTGCAGGTAGGATGCAGGACTGTCTGCAGGCCTATTGTTGATAGAAACATAAGAAGTTTACTCCTTTTTTTAACACATGGACGCACCGGCTGTAAGACACTGTACCCGGTTACGCCCTAGTAATATCTATTAATATAGACCATTAGAATTCTCTTGCGAGCAACTTTTCTAAGACTGCACTTTTATTTAATCTATGATGACATTATTTTGACATTTCTGAGCTTAATACAGTTCCCATTCATTCGTTAGAATCCTTTGAGAGCGAACATCAGCTGCGCACACTTCTCTCGTGGGACCATTGGATCTTCATTTATCTTCTGCTGAGCCTCCATTTTGGTAATTCCGCATAAAAATAAGCTTTGTTTTTCTTTGACACAGGAATAGGGTAAATAAACAAAGAATACATGTGGAACATCTATCCTTATTTGGGCGTCAGTATTTGTAGCCGTTCTCAATGCCATTGCTGAAAGTGGTTCATGATGAGATTCAATCCAGCTACATTTTGTAAATCGGGGTCAAGTCATGCAGTATTTCTTTCAGACCATTTCCCCCGAAAGGGTGGGGGGCTGGGGGTATTTCAAATTTTGGGAGGGCAATAACAGTGGCGTATTAATAAATGAGGGTGGGGTGGGGTTGTCCACCCAGGTGTCACAGTTTTTTTTAATATGGAAAGATAGCATTTTCGGAATCTGCAGTTTGAATTTTAAAGGTAGCACGGATAGACATTTGGTCTGACCTGGGCTGTAGTGTACCACATATGCCATTGGGCAGTGTACTACAAACGCCACTAGGTAGTGTACCACATATGCCATTGGGCAGTGTACTACAAACGCCACTAGGTAGTGTACCACATATGCCATTGGGCAGTGTACTACAAACGCCACTAGGCAGTGTACCACATATGCCATTGGGCAGTGTACTACAAACGCCACTAGGCAGTGTACCACATACGCCACTGGGCAGTGTACTACAAACGCCACTAGGCAGTGTACCACATACGCCACTGGGCAGTGTACTACAAACGCCACTAGGCAGTGTACCACATATGCCATTGGGCAGTGTACTACAAACGCCACTAGGCAGTGTACCACATATGCCATTGGGCAGTGTACTACAAACGCCACTAGGCAGTGTACCACATACGCCATTGGGCAGTGTACTACAAACGCCACTAGGCAGTGTACCACATATGCCATTGGGCAGTGTACTACAAACGCCACTAGGCAGTGTACCACATATGCCATTGGGCAGTGTACTACAAACGCCACTAGGCAGTGTACCACATATGCCATTGGGCAGTGTACTACAAACGCCACTAGGCAGTGTACCACATATGCCATTGGGCAGTGTACTACAAACGCCACTAGGCAGTGTACCACATATGCCATTGGGCAGTGTACTACATACGCTAATAGTTAGTTTACTACTTAACGAAACTAGGCAGTGTACTACATAAGCCACTAGGCAGTGTGCTACATACGCCACTAGGCAGCGTACTACAAACGCCACTAGGCAGTGTACTACATACGCCAATAGTCAGTGTACTACATACGTCACTAGGCAGAGTATCTGTCAGCGCTAAAATAGTCATTTTTATCCGGGAGTAGGGGAGAAATCGAAGATGCCTATGGCTGCTGGACGAAATGGGGTGGAATGTTGGGCGGGATCTGGGGAGCCCTCCTCACTTCATGTGCTCAACTGTAACAGGAGATTTACTGTAAACTTGGCCAGTTGTTTATTTTTACTTAACTGCGTGAACCAACAATAGACAACTTTAAACTTAAATCTCAAATTGTAACGAGCAGTGCTTTGAGGCTTGCGTGCAACAGAAAGATTTGTGATGTTCGTATTTGTATCGTTAATAACAGTATCAAACTTTTGAGAACCTCTTCGTGTTTAAACACGTTCAGCTGATCTAAAGAAATATATATTTTGTGTGTGTGTGTGCATTCAGAACATCATCCGACTATAACTTATTCCATAAAACATGGAGCGTAGTGCTGAAGACAGAGAGGAATGGAGAAGGATGGTTCACATGTCATCTGTGGCGCCCCAACGGTCCAAAGACTAAGGGACATCAGGATGAGGATGAGGAGGAGGATGAGGAGGAGGATGAGTATGAGGAGGAGGATGAGGAGGAGGATGAGGAGGAGGATGAGGAGGAGGATGAGGATGAGGAGGAGGATGAGGAGGAGGATGAGGATGAGGAGGAGGATGAGGAGGAGGATGAGGATGAGGAGGAGGATGAGGATGAGGAGGAGGATGAGGAGGAGGATGAGGAGGAGGATGAGGATGAGGAGGAGGATGAGGAGGAGGAGGAGGATGAGGAGGAGGATGAGGAGGAGGATGAGGAGGAGGAGGAGGATGAGGAGGAGGAGGAGGATGAGGAGGAGGAGGAGGAGGAGGAGGAGGATGAGGAGGAGGATGAGGAGGAGGAGGAGGATGAGGAGGAGGATGAGGAGGAGGATGAGGATGAGGATGAGGATGAGGAGGAGGAGGAGGATGAGGAGGAGGATGAGGAGGAGGATGAGGAGGAGGAGGAGGATGAGGAGGAGGATGGGGATGAGGAGGAGGGTGTAAAATTTCTTAAAGACGGGTCTTTTTTGTGGATTTACATTCCTAAGCAAAACCTGGCATAATAAACGAATGGAACAATTTAAAGAGACGAGAGATCAGTTTTTAAATAGTCCACTTACCGGCAGAGCTTGCTGGCGTCACGCAGAAATCATTCTCTGGTCGGAGAAACAAAGAAACGACATAGGACAATGCGAAAAAGCTCGGGTCATTGTGGATTTAAACATCAAAAATAAAATATGTATTATTTTGTTCAATAAGTGGATACGACTTTCAGTAAATGATACTGGCAGAATACGAAAAATTGAAATTCTTTCTTACGTGTTAAAATGAAGAACGCCATTAACATGGAAATTCCGAACGTTTTCTTGAATTCCATCTCGACTTGGATTAGGCTCCTGAACAGGAACTGAATTCTAAATATTCAAACAAATGTTTGCATTAGTTGTTGAAAAGTTTTTAAATAAAAATTTAAACAAATTTACTTTCAAATGATTCCTTTTAAATGTGAAAACTGAATACAAACTGCATTACACGTCTTTAATTCAATGATTTTTTTGTTTTTTTTAAAAATGTCAACGCTTTTGTTAAGAAACACGTTTACGAGGGGAAAGATTGTTAATACATTTTCCTTTTAAGATTCTACAAACGGGCGAATCCAGACGGTATTGCAATTTAAAAAAAAAAAAAAATTATAATAATCGCAAAGTTGTTTTGTTGGTGGGGCTAGGCACTTCAATGACACTCAAGATTGGTCTATTCTTATCCGGTTAGAGCATTGCTTGATGCTATATTTAGACACAAGCTGGGCTCTGACAAGTTTCGGAGGTGTGGTTATAACGAAACCGGATCTTAGCCGCTCTTCTGGTACGACGGTTCTACATTACTCACAAATATAGGTTCAGTGTTCCAGCAAAGATTTTCAAAACAGATCATTTAATGGAAGGGATCGTCAAACTACAAATCTCTCTTATCTGTATTTGCATTGTCAGCAAACCTTACGTACGCTAATGAGGGAATGACTGTTTGGTCCTTAGATTGGGAAAGGTTATAAGATAAGGTTATTCATACAGCCCCACCCGAAGTAGTTTAGGTTACATTCGATGTGTCCTTAACCCGATTCAATGCCGTTCCATGGATCAAAGGTCGTGAGCCAATGGGGTTTTGATTTTTTAGTCTAACACCACCCTCCTCCCCCCCCTCCCAACCATGCTGACGCTCATCAACGCGTGTGGTCTTAAAGTTTATTCAAATCCAGATCTTTTCATTGCCACAATCAAATCGGGGCTCCTGGCCGTCGTATTCCATCTAAAGTAGAGTTTCCCAAACTTTTAGTGGATCGGAGCATACGTTATGAAATTGCATCAGGGACCGGTACCAGAATGATTAATTACTTTTATTTTTATTTTCGACAGCAAGCAAGTCATATTGTGCGGACTGGCACCGTAAGGCCCGCAGACTTGCGCACGTACGCGGACCCCCACTTGAGAATTAATAATCTAAATTATAGCGACAACAGTAAATGTAATTCAATGTTCGGCTCGGGAGTCCCATCAGTCATTAACTCTAGGGATACTCCGTAACATTGCGACCGTCGTTTCAAACAGCGTGAAGATTTTCAGATTATTTTTATTTGTCTGAGTAGAGAACCCTTTTCCCGTCCCTTGATTCTAGTCAAATTTGTCCATTACGACATGGTACGGGCATGTATGTGATACATCCGGTTTGTTTCATGTGGGCGAGCCGGTTGTTGACTTGAGGAGTTATCTTAAGCTTAAATCACAGAATTTAAAAAAAAAACAACTAATCCTTTTAAATCCTTAAGCACCCTAATGTAAATATAGTATGTAGCGAAAGTGCGAAAAGTTGTTCTTTTTATTTGACGAAATATGCTGTTGTTTTTTTCTCAGATAATGACAGCTAATGTTAACGATATGTCAAACTAAATATAAAGCTTTTATTTCGGAGACATCTATGTCTATGCTTACAGCACACTAGCATGGTGGTATGTTTTACCAAGTACGTCCATTAGAGTTTGTTGCATACCTTGTTCTGATCAACACTAATGACAGCCCACCTTTAACAGAGCAGCATCCGTGGTGGGATAGCGCTTGACATGCTTTCTTGGGAAAGTTGGGTATTCGTGGCTTCGATTTTATTGAATCAGCTTTTTTCCTCTAGGAAATATTTGTGAGCAGAGAATTTAGGTGTCTTAAAACAAAGAAGACTAAACTCTGTTCCAGACAGACATCCACGCACAACACATCAGTTTACATCTTATTATCTCAATGATCTGGTTACATCTGCCACCACCCCTACCCCCTCACCTGGACCATCTAAACAGTGGTGAAACTAGAGTTAATGCCAACCAGAGCGAACCAATATTTTTTTGCCACCCCGACAAAAACTCTGCCGTTAGCCCGCTAAAACACCCCTGGTGGTTAGGACCGAGTTTCTCCCCCCACCCCACCCCTCCTACGTTTACGGTAGGACAATCAATCAATACGGGAAAAAAAACATGATACACGAAATGATTCCGTTATAAAACTAAGTCATGTCATTGGTTTGTGGTTAAGTTCACAGCCAGGACCATACTGAAAGGGGGAGCTGGCCCTAGGGCTTCACGTTGTCTCGTGTTGAGCCTTTAGGTGGGTCTCATCCACTAAATTCATATTCATGCTTATTAGAAACCATTGTTTTTAAACGAGTTTAATAGGGCAGATGTACCCCACGCCCCCCACGTAATAGGGCAGATGTACCCCACGCTCCCCACGTAATAGGGCAGATGTACCCCACGCTCCCCACGTAATAGGGCAGATGTACCCCACGCCCCCCACGTAATAGGGCAGATGTACCCCACGACCCCCACGTAATAGGGCAGATGTACCCCAAACTCCCCACGTAATAGGGCAGATGTACCCCACGCCCCCCACGTAATAGGGCAGATGTACCCCACGCCCCCCACGTAATAGGGCAGATGTACCCCACGCTCCCCACGTAATAGGGCAGATGTACCCCACGCTCCCCACGTAATAGGGCAGATGTACCCCACGCTCCCCACGTAATAGGGCAGATCTACCCCACGCCCCCCACGTAATAGGGCAGATGTACCCCACGCCCCCCACGTAATAGGGCAGATGTACCCCACGCTCCCCACGTAATAGGGCAGATGTACCCCACGCCCCCCACGTAATAGGGCAGATGTACCCCATGCCCCCCAAGGAAAAACTCCACATCAAAACAAGTTCAGAAAGTCATAATTGTAAAATCGAATTACATAATTGAATTGTTTTACATAAGGTCGATACAAAAATTATACCCATCCCTCTTGTTGATTCCGAAACTGGACTTTGCAGAAGAGCATTGGTGATGTCAAGACATGGATGACACTCGGCAAGTTGAAGCTTAACGATGACAAAACGGAAACACTCCTTATTCACGCTCACAAATCATCCTCTAACTCAGCTCTTCCCACCATATTTAAAGTAGGTAACTCCGACATACAGTTTACATTCACCGCTAGGAATCTTGATTATATTCTGTTTAAAAACATGTCTTTCGGTAATCATATCTCTCACATTTATTGTCGCTCTGCATACACCGCTTTCCCTCAGAACAGCTCCTTACGCCACTACCTCACCATTAGTGCAACAAAAATCCTATTCCTATATGTAATATTCAATGAATTGAATTAGCTTAAATTATTTATTCGGCCAGTGGACCTTCTAAAAAATATAATCGCATCCATTAATTAAGTTAAAAAAATACAACTTCCTGCAGCAACTTGACTATTGCGTACATTTAAGTTATTTTTTTTTAATACTTTCTCTGTTTTGTCATTTCTTCCTATGTCCTGTCTGCCGAGGAAGGCTCTTAGCCAAAACGTTCGCTCTTTTGTTGTCCTGTCTTTCTATCCAAAGCTTCCACATATCTTGATCGTCCACACACAGCATTGATGAATGCAGTCATCCTTTTATTATCTTGGAGTTAACACCTGGCTACGCCACTGCCCAAATAATGTCAGTAACCACAGCTGAGACACGCAGGCTTGCCGGAAAGAGCAACATTAGGTCACCGTCTGCAGCAACTAACCCATGCCCGTGGTGCCAGAGATTATTCCGAGCACGGATCGGTCTAGCAAGCCACCTACGAGATCACCGTAACCCACCCTCCCCTTAACCGGACGACTCGATGGTCCTAGTTGACTTCGACGGACGAACAAAACAGTCACTAGTCCGTAGTTTTTCTACCATTTTTAAAAAAATAAATAAAGTACCTGATGCAAATATTAGCAGAATTTTTCTCATTGTCTGCCTTCTGAATCAGTTTGTTGTTGAAAAGTGCCATCAAACAGTTCTCTTCTCTTCCATTTAATCCTCTTGACAACGCCTTCTAAGCTAAGAATATTGAGCTACAGTTTTGACCATATACATGATTATTTATTTTTGGATTCAGAATAAAACCTTTTCCGTCCATCGTAGTGTTTACCGACTCACAGCTGGCATTAGAGGCATTTGATCAATCAACACGACAATGGTTAATACGAATGTGGACATAACACAAGACGTAAAGTCACATGGAGGCAGATTGGGTTTTTCAGTGGAACCCTGAACATGCGAGATTACCCCACAACGAAAGAGGTGGCTTTCTAGTCACAAGTAACATAACGATGACTCAAACTTAGAGGGGGGGCAAGGTGTGGATAAAAATCACTCTTAATAATAACACAATACTGTCCTACTAGAAGCTATACTTTTAATCGGTTGCATCCTCGTCGGGACTCGAGCTGCCTAAGCTCCCAATAGTGACGAGTGGAGGGGGCTGAGAACAGCCCAGATCTCCACAAGGGGCTGAGAACAGCCCAGATATCCACAAGGGCTGAGAACAGCCAAGATATCCACAGGGGCTGAGGACAGCCCAGATATCAACAAGGGGCTGAGAAAATCCCAGATATCCACAAGGGGCTGAGAAAATCCCAGATATCCACAAGGGGCTGAGAAAATCCCAGATATCCACACAGAAAGTCTGATTTACGGGGATGTCAAGAGGATGCGTCACGCTTGTGAAAGGAATGCCGGGGCCATAAGAGAGCATTTGCTCGGCACAAAAAATATACTAGAAATCAGGGGCGTCATTTCATTGTTTTTTTCGGGGGTGGGGGGCAACACCAAAATTTGGTGTGCTTGTTAAGTTGAGTATTACTGGAGGCGCCACAGTACATAGCAATTTTAAAAAAAAAAAGCAAAAATTAAAAAAAAACCTGCAAATTCAGTGGCAGGAAGGGGGGGGGGGTTGAGGGCGTAAATGTCCCACCCAGCCCTAAGCAAATGGCGTCCTTGCTAGAAATAATAATAGCTGACGGCAAATCCTGAACTTCTTAAATCCATTAAAGTTACTAGACAAAACATGTATTTAAGTAGCGCTCTTGGTAATAATCCAGGATTAGTGCTAAATTAATTACGGTTATATTTTTAAATCCTTCATTGAAAAAAAAAATTAGTCTTTGACGTGTTCCAAACGTGATGGCTTTCCCCAAACAATACCCACACATACAAACACACATTTAGATGTGTAACCAAATCGCCAATTCAAACGTTTCAGAACTCTGGAATAATTTTGAGGTGGTCCAATGACTCCCCAGTTTTCCACCCCCTCCTCCCCCCAGTTTTCCACCCCTCCTCCCCCAGTTTTC